CTTCCCCACGGGCCATGCTAGCCAAGTGTCATATCTGACTTGTTTAAATACGTGCAGTGATGGTAGATTCGAGAAATAGAGCAATATCAGCTACAAATACTGATGGAAATGTATATGTTTTTTTCAATAAAAATCCTAATGGTGCGAGGGCTTTTAGCAAAATTTTTAGAGTAGAACATAAGACTTTACTCCTTTATCTATGAATTACAAATTAAATGAAGAAATTTTAAAATTTAAAATCCCACTGTTGAGCAATTAGCCCTTCGGGCTGTCGCCTACGGTGACCGGGAGAGAGACTTGAACAAGTCCTTTAGTATAACTAGTAGTACCCCAGGTAGAATTTGTCAATTGATGGTGTGCATATTAAAATATATTCACCTAAAAATAAGTTACTTTAAATAAAAACAATTTAAGCAAGAAATGTATTAAGACTCAAAGAGGAGAGCTGCTAGAACAAACCAAAGTTAAATAGAAAAAAAATATATAAAATAATGAACCAAGTCAACTTAGTTTTCATAAAAAAAACCCCCTAAAAAAAACTTGTTTCTACTCTAAAAAAGTTCAATTCAACTATAGGAACATAACCTCCATGACAAAAACACCACCATAGTATCACCATCAATCTATTGCCATATGTAATTAACATCAACCACCTCTTTATCACCATCTGCCGAATTGCAATCCTTTTAGGGTTCAACTAGTATCTAGTGTAAATAGATCTTCTCATTGTTGTGGAGGGGATCTTTTTAGCAGTTTTTTTTTTTTAGTTGCCTTTTTATCACGATTTTTGGGAGGTTTATCATGAATTATGATTAGTTTCCTTGTACTCTTTAATTAAGGTTGATGGATATGTAATGTGATTAAATATTTTAAGAAAAATTGAATACTCTGTATAATTATTTAATTGTTTCTCGACAAAATTGAGTTCTTGATATAAATAATGCTTATAATTCTTCACAAGTATTTCAACTAGATATCCAAAAATATATATTCAATCATCAAATTAATTATGTTTAATGAAATGTTTTCCTATTAATTGGACGTTGAAAATTAATCGAGTTATCTAATTTTTTATAAATATAATATCAGATAAATAAAATCAAATTCAAACCCTTCTGCTCCGTTTAGTATGATAGAAAAATGAAAGGATAAAAAGTTTGAAAGATGAAAAATAGATAAAACATCATATTTGATAAGAAAGAAAAATAAGAAGGATGAAAAAGTGGATGAATGAGCTTTTCTTTCAACTCACCAAAATAAATTTCTCAAAATCAGAAGCAAAGTGAATAAAAAATTAATTATTTGTGTTAAAATGTATTTTATTTGTGTATATATCATTTGATATATACATATATTGTGTATACATTATTTTATAAATACAATAATAAAATATTTATTTATATTTTAAAAAAAAAAATAAAAAAAATATTTTTCCATCTTACCAAGCATAAAAAAAAATTTAATTATTTTTATTTTTCATCCATCATACTAAACACAAATAAAAGAAATTGTATCATTCACACTTTCTTTCAAATATAAAATATGTACTCATACTTTTTATTTCTCCTACTAAACAAAACATTAAACAAAAAAAAATATTTTCTAAAAAAATTTATGGGATCCATAGATCCAAGAGTTCATAGCTATTTTGGAATCTATTTCGGATCCCAAATTAGCATTGCTTCGCAAAAATACCCTCCCTGTAGTCTAATTTCCCCGTCTCTGTCCCCGCTCCTTCGGTCCCTCCTCTATGTCAGTCTTCTCGTCGGAGACTAAAACCGCCTCTTCGCCCGCCGCTGATTGCCACCACCGCCCACCATTTCATCAGCTGTTAACTGCCACCACCAGCTCCTTCTTCTGCCGTCGTCGATTGTCACGTCCAACCACCTCTTCATCTTCCCAAACAGTCCGCTAATAATCACCACCAGCCACACCACCAGCCGCACTAATCAAACGTAAATCGAAGAACCCAGCAATTTTGCAAACTCTTGAAATCCCATCAAAGAAACCTAAATTGTGCAAGACAAATCGATTTGTGGTTCTCAAGCGTTTCTAGTCGTGGGTGGTTTACAAGAAAAACAAGTTTCTGGATTTTGCGTGTCCCGACACATCTCTTTCTCTCTGAAAACTTATTTCAATAGAAGTTGAAAAGGGATCAGCGGCAGCCTCACAGTGGGGGCTAGGAACTGTTGAACATTAATTTCGATTTGAATATTTGTTTTTTTTCCTGATAAAACGTCATGGGGAATATATTCGTGAAGAAACCAAAGATCACCGAAGTTGATAAAGCAATCCTGGCTCTCAAGACCCAAAGGCGTAAGCTTGCCCAGTATCAGCAAAAGGTACCACCCATTACATTATCTCTACATTTTTTTGAATAGTTTTTCTTTTGTTATAATTCATTAATTGGTCCATTTGTGCATTCGTTTTGTTCATCAAATCTTGAACATTGAAAATTGAAATTGACCAACTTCAGGTTGCAGTGGTAATTCTTATTAAGTCTGGAATTGTTGGTTGTCAAGGTAAATATTTATCTCAAAGGTGTAAAATGAACTATAATACATGGCTTCTGTTGCTCACTTGATAATAGGATTGTGCAAAGCGGAGAGGTGAGCTGTTTTGGTAAGCATTTTTTTGATTGATTATGCTAATTTCTTGATTATAAAGAAGTATTTGAGTGATTCTCATTGGAGACAATCCATAAATGTAAACTGAAAATATTAGCATGGCCCTAGTGCAAAGATGATCCACACCAATCGGGAAAGGGTTGAGGTGGGTTTGGTGAGTTTTTTTTTTATTACGAACAGGGATTTGAGTTGGCCTAGTAAAAATGTTTTTGAGGTGGATTTGCCAGTTTTTTTATTATTATGAAAACTACATCAAGCAGTTGTTCTGTGGGTGAATTTTAAACACGAAGAATCACATATACGTGGGCAGGTTTTTTTTTTTTGGCAATGATCTTCATTCATCATTATCAGAAATGAGAGTCAGGATTTCACAAAACAAACAGAAATGCAGAAATCAATCTATATAAAAAGGGAAATCCTTTAGTCTGTCCTGCCCTGGCTTCTTCCAGACATATAGTTTCTAGTTCTTTTGGCAAATCAAATGTCCATTGACGAGGGAGCNTCACAAAACAAACAGAAATGCAGAAATCAATCTATATAAAAAGGGAAATCCTTTAGTCTGTCCTGCCCTTGCTTCTTCCAGACATATAGTTTCTAGTTCTTTTGGCAAATCAAATGTCCATTGACGAGGGAGCTTGCCTGTACTAGCTTGCTTTGCGACCCAATGAGTTGCAACATTACAGTCCGTGGCACATCTTGAAGTTGCACAGATTTCAGTTGTTGAGAATAGTGCCATATATCCCTTTGAATGGCTTCAATTCCCCTAATATTGTTTATCTGCTCTCCGTTTAATGATCCTGTATGGAGAATTGAGTTGGGCAATCCAATAGTCTCTTGATATCCTTCTGTTTTAGCCAAATTGCATGCTTTTCTGATAGCGTAGGCCAATGATATGCCTGGAGATAAGGTATACTTCCAGATTCTCCTGTTGAGATAGAGATCTGTATGATCTCTGACAAAGAACTGTAGGATGCTTTCTTGCTTTTTTCTTTAAAAGTTCCATCACTAATTTTCTATATCTAGCCTTCTGGAGGTGGAGTCCTTCCAATTAGTCCTTAATCTTTCCTTTTTATCCGGGCACCTGCTAAGCTTGTGTTGGAATGTTGGAATTCTGCTTCTGCTATCATTGCTTGGCTAATCACCACTAGTAGTTTAGGTTTTCTGTGATGATGCACCCATGTATTCTTAGCTATCTTGATGAGCCATAATATGCAAACTATCTGTGGTTGTCCTTTTGGTTCATCTCTACTGCATGCTTTAGTGTTCTGCAACATCTCTTGAATCCAAATTTCTATCCTCCTCAATTATTTTCTATCCACCTGAATTTCTAGAGGTGAGAGCTGCCACACTTTTTCTATCCATGTCAAAGTAGAAAGAATTGTTCAACTGTTTCTTCTTCCTTTCCCACGTATTGGACGCAGACTTCAAAATATCTTTTTTCTCCAGAGGTTTTGCCTACTAGCCAGAGCTTCTGTTATAACCCTTCTAATGAACATTCTTATTTTTTTTCTGGAACNCGTATTGGACGCAGACTTCAAAATATCTTTTTTCTCCAGAGGTTTTGCCTAGTAGCCAGAGCTTCTGTTATAACCCTTCTAATGAACATTCTTATTTTTTTTCTGGAACTTGCAATTTCCATATTAAACCCCTTGTCTCCTGTGGCATAAAGAAAGAAGAAGAAGTTTGAATAGATTTGTTTAGATGAGAGTACATTATAACTGCCTTTCACTGTACTGTTCAGTCATAGTACCAGTCCACCTTACCATGTCAACTTGTGGAGTTTTCCTCTGGGGTTATTAAGAAGTAAGAACAGCTGCACAGATCTTTGGGGGAACATAAATTCTACCNACTTGTGGAGTTTTCCTATAGGGTTATTAAGAAGTAAGAACAGCTGCACAGATCTTTGGGGGAACATAAATTCTACCTAGTTTTGTTTGCATTCCATATAGGGCTTGGATATTAGCTTAGAAAGCCTTTATTCCGACATGTACTGTTTTTTTGTCAGTCTGTCTGTGCTTTGGTATCCGGCTATCATACTATTTTTTTTTTACCTTGACAATATGCCAAATATAGCCTTGTTGTAATACACTTCTTCCTNAAAGCCTTTATTCCGACATGTACTGTTTTTTTGTCAGTCTGTCTGTGCTTTGGTATCCGGCTATCATACTATTTTTTTTTACCTTGACAATATGCCAAATATAGCCTTGTTGTAATACACTTCTTCCTNGGACTTGTTTTTAATTCTCAGCTAGGCAATTTTATTGAAAGACGAGGGTGGGAATGTAAAATTTCTGGATACAATGGAAGACAAAACATCCTACCAAAGACCTTTACATCAGAATAAAGAAGGAAGTACATAAAAATTTTNCTTCAATGAGAGTTTTACATATCCAGGAGTTTGCTGACTTGCGAAAAATGAATTTCAAGAAAATACCATCCCTTTTAGTAGTTTGCCCCAGAGTGATTCAGGGTTATGTTTTAGCCTCCCAACTTGTTTGGCTGCCAACACTTCATTAAAATTTTCAAAATCTCTGAAACCCAGCTCTCTTCTGCCTTATTTTTTGTGAGATTCCTCACTTCTTCTATTGATTTCCTCTCTCCTGGTGGGTTGTAGAGAGAGAGAGAGAGAGAGAGAGAGAATAAAGTTGATGTGTAGTTGAAGATTGTTATAGCATAAGGCGGTATAGCCTGCTAATACTTCACAGTTTGTCCTTTCAGGCAGCAATTTTTNCCACTTCTTCTATTGATTTCCTCTCTCCTGGTGGGTTGTAGAGAGAGAGAGAGAGAGAGAGAATAAAGTTGATGTGTAGTTGAAGATTGTTATAGCATAAGGCGGTATAGCCTGCTAATACTTCACAGTTTGTCCTTTCAGGCAGCAATTTTTGGCATATCCTCTGGCTAACGACGTAATGATTGTTTCTTAGACCTACCCCTTCAGTAAGCAGCCCCAAGTAGTTTCCTATCTTTTGCAGTGAAGATAGTCTCTTAGAATATCAGCTAGCTCCTGCGAGTAGCACAAAGTAGCTGTAAGAAACTCACATCCTGAACACCTGATAATACTTCAGAGAGACATGAACTTGGTTGGGCAAGGATTAGTGGATGCATGGAGATATTGGCTATAGATATTTATAGTTGTTTAATGCTACACTGCACAATCCCCAGTGCAGATTGATTTTGATTCTCTGTGGAGATTGCTAGTTGATGAATGATCTTGTGAAGCATTCAAATGTTATCATTGATGGGTTGCTGAGCTCAACTTTGTGGTAGTCATGATTGTAGAAAATCTATGGTCAAACTGGTACTAGTTGGGAATCGGAAGAGAATGGGATGTGAGACTCCTATTGCATCTTTTTCAGGGTTGGTGAAAATACTCAGTTGTGTCCAGATTGAGACTTTTGATTAGAAGAGAATGTGTTTCAACTTTCTAAACCTTACAATCTCTTATTTGTTACTAGACTTGACAGTTAGAAAATAGTGGCTGGTCCTCTATTTTGAGAAAGAAAATGACTAAGAACAATTGTAATTAAGATTGTAATGCTTTATTCATGATCTTTTAAGAGGCAAGTATCTAATCCTAGAGGGATTAAGGATGAAGCTCACCTATTGCTCCATTAATCCATTATCAAGATGAACCACCACCATAACTTTTATTTTGTTTAGAAAAATAAGAATTAGCAATTGAATGATTAGTTTTTTCGAGTGGTTGTCTGGTTGGTGGAACTTGATCAGCAGCTGTCAGCTTATATTATTTTCGCCAATGTTTGTAAATTTTTGGTTTAGGCTGTTTCCTTTAATTTGCATTCACAAATTAAATTTTGGGGGTCCAACGGATAGCTTTTGTGGAATATAGAAAAAAGGCTATTGAAAGCCTGGTTCCTCGGTTTCCTTTCCCTTAACAAGTGGTCAAATTTTGAAATCAAAAGTTCATCGAGTTGTGATCTGTTGTTGTAATACCCATTGACTTGTTTTTAATTCTCAGCTAGGCAATTTTATTGAAAGATGAGGGTGGGAATGTAAAATTTCTGGATACAATGGAAGACAAAACATCCTACCAAAGACCTTTACATCAGAATAAAGAAGGAAGTACATAAAAATTTTCTAGCCATGACAGTTTTACATTTAACACAGCACTTTAAACAAATCTCACAATTCACTTCTGCCCTTGGACACACTAGCTTTTTTGTTTTCATTAACAACACATTAATTTTATTAATAATTGGACCTAAGTACAAAGACGATGAGTAATCCACCAATAAACATAGAAGAAAAGGGACTAAAAAACATAACTACATGTCACAACAGCTTTCGAACCTGTCCTAATAGAACAAAAGGAAGTCCTACAAATTTAGGAGATACTGAAACACAAAGGGACACCAAAAACAAATTTATTCCTGTAAACCATCTTCATTTCCATGTTCCCCTAAAAAATTATTGCATTCCTCTGTATTCGTATAACCAAAATATTGCCAACACTACACATTTCCAAAGAGATTAATATTTCTTGGTTTTTTTGCAAAAACCTTAAATTCAATCATAAATATCGCATTGTCAAGAATCGAGATACCAAATACATCTCATATGCACACATAAAAAAGGTCTCCATTATGCTAACATAGTCAGACAATGAAGGAAGAGATGATCAAGAGTCTCCTCACTCCTGCACACACTACACCACTATGGAAGAAGGTAATGAAGAGACCACCTCCTCTGAAGCAAATCATTGGTATTGAGTTTCCTATAATCAATAGTCCATGATAATACTTAGAACTTTATTCGAAATCATCTTATAAGGACCAAATTGTGGTATACTAGGATGACCAATCAATGAATCAAAGAAAGGTTTACAAGAAAACTCCTAGAAGATCAAATTATCCAACAACTTTTATCTGGAACTGACTATCTTAGAGAAACCTATCTAAAAGAGATAAATTAAATTATAATTCCTTAACCTCTCTATGCTCAAGGTTTCCAATGAAGTTGAAGTTTCGATTGATAGGATAAGAAGAGGAAGACACCATAGAGACGATTGGAGCAACGTGAGGGTGGGACAAAATGAAACATTCAAAGAAATAGAATAGGAAAAAAGCTATCACCCTATCCACCCATCTTCTCACAAGCGAATATTTTCCCCATTTCCAACAATGATATTTGTATACTGAAAAAATCTAAACAAACTCGATTCACCATATGAGAATCTCTACCATTATCCTTAAATGAATACTTATTTATGATAATACATACCACAAGTAATTGCGTTTAAAAGGGAATCTTCATAACAACTTCTCGTCAAGGCAATGTTTCTAGCAATAATGTTTTCTAAAGTTAGTCTTTCTGTCTTCCTTGAGCGAGATACAATTTTTCATTTCACCAAATGATCATTTTTCCATTCCTCATTCCCCTCAACAGGAACTCTCTCATCAACCTCCATAACGTACTTGCCACTCGGTGGAATCTTAGTAAGAGACATGTAATGTAAGTATGTAACAAACAGGGATAATGTCCAATGCGACCGCAAAATATGATCTTCCACCTTTATATATCAAAGCTTTTTTTCCATCCAACATCAAAAAGCTTAAGAAAGACACAATGGTTGTGCACCTATAAGATGGAAAGCTGTGGCCCCTCTGGAATCCTACCAAGCAGAAGCCTTTAAATGAGGCTGGTCCAGCTAAGAAAAGGAATTTCCTAAGCTTGGGCTGGGCTATACCCCTTTAGTGCCAAAAAAAAAAATATATATTTTTACGTTAGAAATTAGACGTGAAATAACAGTTTTGTATCCTTTATAATCAGCCAAAGTTTTGGACCGCCCAAGTCTATAAACCCGTTCAATTCTCTGGTTTTCCAATAAGTCAGCTAGTNGATTCTCTGGTTTTCCAAAAAGTCAGCTAGTTTTGTGGTTTTTTTCCGGTTCATCTTCATAGGCGATGTAATTAGTGGACCAATCGGTTTACCTGGTTGACCCATNAATTCTCTGGTTTTCCAATAAGTCAGCTAGTTTTGTGGTTTTTTTCCTGTTCATCTTCATAGGCGATGTAATTAGTGGACCAATCGGTTTACCTGGTTGACCCATCATTCCAGTTGGTTTTGATAACATTGCAAATGCAAGAAGCATTAGTACACAACTTAAAAATCCCCTTGTCAAAAAATTTAGCAAACACTCCCACCAACTCTGATTTTTTCATATCCCAACAATCCTGGGTATTGATATAGGAAAACCATCTAGTCCCGAAGATTTACCACAATTACCCTTGAGAGCCACTCTAAGTACCTCTTATTCAAGGGATCTCTCAAACCAATTAGATTTACATTGATCAATTAGCTCCAATTTGGCCTCTCTATCCCAAGTCTATACACACCGTGTAAATAATACAAGCTAAAGAAATGGCAGTCTCATCAATGATTTGATTCTTCTCCTCTACAATCCTACCATCTTTTGTCGAGTCTTTTAATGAATTTTTTTTTTGAAGTACAGTCTCATCAAAGATCTTTGAAGTANTGAAGTACAGTCTCATCAAAGATCTTTGAAGTTTTGGCCCCTTTTTTACCTTCCGCATCTTTTGTCCATTAGATGTTAAGAAAACCATTTAGTCAACCTTAGTCTACAAGCAATGTTGCAACAACAGTGACAAGTGGAATTAGTTCTCATTAACATGAAAATGCAGGATTCGCAGAGTCTTTAGGATGTTCAGTGAGTGATCTTTTAATTATTTGGGGTTTTCTTAAGAATATAATCCAACGTCCTTGAGTTTTTGGGATACAGTAGTGGAGAAAATAGGGAAGAAACTAGTTGGATGGAGAGTGCTTCTCATTTTAAATGGGTGAGACTTACCTTAGTTGAGTCTGTATTCGCTAGCATTCCTTTTTGTTGTACGACTCTTTTTAAAATGCCTTGTAAGGTGGCCTAGAATTGAAAAGACAATGAGTGATTTTTTTTGAAATAGTGTGGGGAAGGGAAAGAGATCATTTAATGAGCTAGGATTTGGTTTCTCGATTTCGAGATATGGTTGGTCTTGGTTTGGGGAACTTATTTGATAGAAATATGATCCTTGTCGGGAAGCCATCATGAAGATCCGACAAAACAAAATTCACCATGGTATTCTGTTATCAAAAGCCACAATGATATTTAGCCTAACGGGTGGGATACTCCTATAGTTGAAAAGGGAACGTTCTGATGATCATGGAAGTTCATTTCTCATATAGGGAGAGAGATTGGTTTTTAGGAGGATGTTTAGCTTTGATGACTCTTCTTTTCTACTAATGTTTCCTTGCATTTAGCGCTTAGCTTGTGTTCGTAGTTTCTCTATTGCTCATGTAGGAGTGTCTTTTTTAATCTCATGGAATTTCAATTTTTCTAGGAATCTAAATGATAGTGAAACTCATGATTTGTGCTCCTTATTTTTTTTGCTTAATGAGGTCTCTCTAAATCCTATGTCGTCTAATAGACGAAGAAGGATTTTTCACTTGTAAGAAATATTTTTCGTAAATCTTTCTTTGGTTCTTTAATTGATAATCGTTTCACCCATTGAGGTTCAATTATGATGGATAATTGCTCATGAAATTATTTATTCTAGTGGTTTGATTCAGAAAAGGAGACCATATACTTGTTTGTTGCCATGGTGGCATGTTATTTGTGGAAGGAAGGGAGAGGGCATTGATCACCTTTTCTTTAATTTTCTGGTTGCATGGGGTTGTGGTTTTCTGATTGCAGAAGTGAATCGGATGATTTCCTGGCATTGTATGTCTTTGTTGGAGGAAGATTTCAGGTGTTTCGAAAGGGATAAGAAAGTTGTCGCTCTCTGGAAGTGTGCTTTTTTAGCCTGTTTAGATGAGACTCCCACTGTTTGGGTTTAAAATATGTGGCTGTATTCTTTTAAAAAATGTTTTGATAAGTAGTGGGGTGAGAGCTGTGTACAAGGGTGGGAAGGTTTTGAGATCATGAGACGGTTAAGGGAAAAATATAAGTTTGGAATAAGGAGGAATTTGGAGATGCTAGTGGGTGGTGTGCTCAGAATGGAGAATGGGAGATGAATGACCTCAAGAATGAATTAGAGGAAGTGTTCTACCTTGTTTGTTTGACCATAATACACTGCACTGTTTCTTGTAAGTTTGCATCATTTGCATCTGAAATATAGCAAACTTCTACTTTAAGACCATCATTCCATTGCAGAGGTTGATGATGGCCCGGTGTGAGCATGCATACATGTCTGTGCATCTATGTTCCTCATGTGTGAGTAGGTGTCATCCACTAAAGCTTCATTGTCTCAAGAAGAGTTAAACTTGATGCCTCTGATCTCCTTTTTCATGTGGGGAGTTGGATTCTTCTGTGTTTTGTATCCTTCAAACTGTTTCTTTATTTCTTTCTTTAACTGCTGTCAAGTGGGTGGAAACCTTTATCATCCGATTTATACTTGATATATGGAAAGTTTTAATTTTGCATAGGTGTCTGCAAGTCCTCTGTAGCCTGCTCTTCTATGAGTTACCTGACTGAATTATCAATTATGGGGTAGTGAGACATATTTTTCATGTGTGACCATTAAAAGTTTGGTTGATGATCAAAATCTGGCAGAGCATAATCTGAAACCTTTGGAAAGAAATACTGTTTTGNATGAATTATCAATTATGGGGTAGTGAGACATATTTTTCATGTGTGACCATTAAAAGTTTGGTTCAAGGAGGATGATCAAAATCTGGCAGAGCATAATCTGAAACCTTTGGAAAGAAATACTGTTTTGTGTGGAAATGATTGAACTTCCGTTGTTTTTCGGGATTGTGTAGCAAGTTTCCCTGGTGGTATCTCATTTGTTACTTCTTTCGGTCATTTACTTCTTTCAGCTAGATGAGGTGATTGAAGCTGAAAAGCAAGCAGCAAGGGACTTGCTTCGTGAAAAGAAGAAAGATAGGGCGTTGCTAGCATTGAAGAAAAAGAAGGTTCAAGAAGACTTATTGAAGCAAGTTGATGCGTGGCTTATTAATGTTGAGCAGCAAGTAAGTAGTTCTGTTATGATGGAACTCATTTTGTTCTTGCATTTAGTTTCCTATTTTTTTCCCTCTATGTAAAACTATCATGTTTTCTGTTTAGCACAATCTTATTGATGATGAAATTCTAAAGAAGGCATGCCTACATCATGTATAGTTGCTTTAGTTGGCAGATATTGAATTGTCAAGCAAGCAGAAGGTGGTCTTTGAGAGTTTGAAGGCTGGTAATAATGCTATCAAATCAATACAAAGCGAGATCAACTTGGAGGATGTCCAAAAATTAATGGATGATACCGCCGAAGCAAAAGCTTATCAAGATGTGAGTTTGACTCTTATTTATATGTCTCCAATTCTCTTTCATATTCATGGCTGGACTTCAGTTTTGTTGCTTGGTTTGTGGTATTGTGACATTTTATAATGATTTATATCCAGTGAAAGTCAGAAAGAAAAATGCATTAATACGCATGTTGAGGAAACCTTATCTCAGATTATGGGATCAGAATGGATTTTTAATAAGAAAAATGAATCTGCATGGGTTTCTTTTTTGTATTTTGTGTATTTATTTTTGTTTTTTCCTTTATTATTTATTTCTGTGTCTCTTTGGGGGTTGGGGGGGGGGGTATTGAATGAGGTTTACGATAAGATAATCTCTCCTTTTGTTAATATTTTATTCTTTCCTTTTTCCTTGCTTTTGTCCTGATCGTACTACTGTAGTTTAATTTGAAATTAATCTGAGATTGATGTCAGTTTTTTCAATCGTTTTCTTGCTCTAACATGTCCCCTATTTGTGTATTTGCACTATGGTTGCAGGAAATTAATGCAATCTTGGGGGAAAAACTATCAGCAGAAGACGAAGAGGAAATCTTGGCAGAATTTGAGACTCTTGAAACTCAGGTAAGAGTTTTTGCTATTCAAACAATGGGCTCTCTTTCCTTGATCATTTTTGTTGGTGAAAAAATACTTCTGCCTTGTTAATCATTTAAACTGTTTGCCTCCAGTATCTTCCCTCTTGTTTTTATTCAATTGTTGCAATCAATAGACCTGACCTGTCCTTAAGCTTCATTGACTTGGAGAAATCAGAATCTTTAATTAATGCTAGACTTACAGTCCACTTTGCTTGCTGCTAAATCCACTGGCTACTTCCTTTATCTGAGATTATGACAAGGTTGTGTTTCTGCATCTTTAGTTCATTTTGAAAAAAAATACTATTGGATCTGACTGATTCAGCAGTAATCTAAACATAACCTGGATGGCTGGTATATGTTTACTTATGTAATTGATCTAGAACAGTGGAAAATTTATTTTAAAAAAATAAATTTTGTATGGAGTTAATGATGAACTTAATTTCTCTCTACTTAGGTTCCGCTTTGTACCCTATGTATAATTCATCTGTCAAATGTTTTTTCTTGTGGCAGTTATCTAGAAATAAAAACTCAGAATCTATTTTTCGTTGTTTAAAACATGTAGAAGTGTAGAAGTATGATTTCCTTTCGTATCAAGCTATCGGTGAGTAGGAGTTATTGACCACCTGTGGAATATGTGAGATCATTTGATAACTCCTGTGGAATATGTGGGATCATTTGCCCTACCCAAAACAATTTTTTTGGGTGCTAATACACTTGTGTCATTATTTGTTGTGTTTGAAAAGTTAATGTTCTTCAGAATGGTCCTTCTGTGTTCTCTTGTCCTCCAATATTTGGATTTTGCCTTCTAGTGCACCTGGGGGGAGCATCTTTCTTGTGCTTGGTATTTTATTATTGGCACTTTCAGCATCAACCCTAAAAGAAGATGGTTAGATAAGCCAATTTAAAGGACACCTTTACACTTATGACCATGAATCCTAATCCAAATAATCGGAATTGGGACCTTCACCTTCCCTGAAGCTGTGTTTTTGGACTTCTTTGCATTTGGAGCCAATTTCTCTTACATTTAATGGTTTTGTGAAGGTGGTAACAGAAAAGGTATAAACAATCCCCAGTTGTGTATCTTTTGCATACATATAGGAGCTCCCAAAATGTAAGGTTGTAGAATGGAATGCTAGCATTCTTTGCTTATCAGGGTTTGGTATTTTGAGATTGGTTTGTCAAACCTCCTCGCGTGCTTGCACCTTATTTTTTAAGGCAAGAGGGGGCAAATAGAATCATTTGTTTTTTTACTGGTGGTATGGCTTTTTATGCCCCCCATGGGGAGGGACTAGGTAGACTATGAGCAGGCCCCCTACTGTTTTTTGATTTCCCCATGTACCCTTGGGAGTGCCAATATTGGCAGTTTGCTAATTCAGTGGGTACTGAACTGCAATTTGCTGGTGCAAACGATATAAGGACGAGAAATTTTCTGTTTAATGGTGATTTCTTCTAATTTTATCTTTCCATTTGAGTTTGCAGCTTTATTGCACTGAGAAATCTTGTAGATACACAACGCTAATTGCACAGTATTAGATGAACGGCATATTAATCTTTTGCTGCAATTCTTTTTGGCTTCCAACGTGATGTGTTTTTTTTAATTATGTTTCAGGTTTATTTTTGAGCGAGTGTTTCTTTATTCTCTCTGTTTTATCCAAAGAAATGTCGATAACATTTAAAAAAACTCCTTTTGTTTGTGCAGATGACCCTTCGAGATCTGCCAAAGGTTCCTGCTACAGTCCCATCTCCTGAGGAACAGGAAGAAATGTTGGACCTTCCTGATGTGCCAACCAAAGCACCGACTGCTACTGAGGTGGTTGCAGATGATGCTCAAGTCACTTCAGCTGCGAAGAAAGGTCACTCTCTCTCTCTCTCTCTCTTTCTCTCTTCAAATCACTTATCTTTTTTTTTCCTTTCTCAATTACACAGTTATGGAGGAGCCATTACCTGCCTGATGCAGAAAGCTTCTGGCACTGGTTATATGACTTATCACTGGTGCCATTGGAATATGATATTCACACTGCCATAGCTGTCCATGATTCCCAAAAAAAAAAGGAAAAAACCACTCCGGTTGCAGCCCGCATTGCACTTGTAATTTTTCACTGTTTGACTTCATCATATTTTGTTTGGTTGGATTCTGTGATAATGTGCATCTTGGTCCGACTTTTGTGATCTGTAACATTTGCTTCTACATGTATAGAATTGGTATTATTNGGAAAAAACCACTCCGGTTGCAGCCTGCATTGCACTTGTAATTTTTCACTGTTTGACTTCATTATGTTTTGTTTGGTTGGATTCTGTGATAATGTGCATCTTGGTCCGACTTTTGTGATCTGTAACATTTGCTTCTACATGTATAGAATTGGTATTATTGCTTTGTGTGTTACATACCACCCCATCTTTTTATTGTTCAAAATGACTCCTCTTTTGGCAGACACTATGATTGCATCGACAGAGCACAGATGCATGCAGGTTTGATTTTCAAGTAGGAACCACCATGACTACCCTTTTNGTGTGTTACATACCACCCCATCTTTTTATTGTTCAAAATGACTCCTCTTTTGGCAGACACTATGATTGCATCGACGGAGCACAGATGCATGCAGGTTTGATTTTCAAGTAGGAACCACCATGACTACCCTTTTGTCTGGGTCTTAAACTTAGCACCCGACTGTTAATATATTCTTTTGCTCTAAGTACTTATGAGCCTTATTCTGGTGGGTTGTTTTGTGTTTCACGAACAGTCTTGGGAGATGTGGATGATGCATGTGAGTCAATGAAGCCTAAATCTCTTCTATCCTCAACAACCTTCCCTATAGCGAGCANTATTCTGGTGGTTTATTTTGTGTTTCACGAACAGTCTTGGGAGATGTGGATGATGCATGTGAGTCAATGAAGCCTAAATCTCTTCTATCCTCAACAACCTTCCCTATAGCGAGCAATTTTACCTACATTATCTTGTTGGTTTTCTGAAATAAGCCAATACCTGCTTATAATTTTGCAATGATTTGACAATTACTCAGTATCATTCCATCCTATGTATTACCAGACCCGACTACTGTGAAGCCTGCTGGTGTGATGCTGCGNCCCTGCTTATAATTTTGCAATGATTTGGCAATTACTCAGTATCACTCCATCCTATGTATTACCAGACCCGACTACTGTGAAGCCTGCTGGTGTGATGCTGCGACAGGAAGAAACTCGTTTACTGATGATTCAAAAATCCACACCCATATGNAGACCCGACTACTGTGAAGCCTGCTGGTGTGATGCTGCGACAGGAAGAAACTCGTTTACTGATGATTCAAAAATCCACACCCATATGCAGGTTTGCTTTTTATAGTTTTTAAATCTCATCTTTCTGCTCAGCTGAGAAAGACTTTGCTGCCCAACTGGTGAAAAAATTTGCCCTTTCTCTAAATTTGGACCCGCCCAAGAATTGAAATTTTGTTTCGATGCATGCTTTTGATCAATTTGAAAAGGAATATTTTAGAAATGTTTTGGAAATATTTTGAAACCCGAATGGTGGGACCTACCAAGCGTCGGCATTTATACATTTAATGGCAGTTGTCCTGTAGAACTCACAGAGACATCAACTTTAACTTCAAATCACCTTCAGTGAGAGAAGGGAAAAATAAGTCCAACCACAAGAGCTTACTTCATATTTAATTTACTTTTTTGGCATGTGTTTCTGTGGGTATTTTTTGTTTGGTCTGTGGTAAATGCTTGGTATATTAATCTTGAGAGTTTCCAATGGTTCTTTAAGGCTCATTTGGTTGCTGTATCAAAAATGGATGGATTAGATAAGAGTAATCCAATCTAATATAATACAGAAGGACACAAAACAAGATTAAATAATATGATAGAATAATACGCAATTTTATCTAGTGTTTGACAATACACAATATAATCGGTTGTTTGGTTAGAGAATTATTTCATCATATTAATGTTGAATTAACAAAAATACCTTCAATCATTGTTTGTTACATTGATGACAACTTGAATTTATCATTTGAGGGGTTATAATAGTAAATGTGTAGAATAATACATTTGACTTGGATTATAATACCACATCTTTTGGTGGTACTAAAAAACTTCCATAATACAAGTCTATCGTATAAAAAATATATGATAAGTATACGTTTTTGAAATTAATACGATATCAAATTTGTTTACCAAACAAAGTATTAAGCTCGATTAAATAAAAAATAAAATAATTTAATATTTAATCCCCTCATAATACGACTACCAAACGAGCCCTAAGTGTATAAGAAAAAACCTATACAATGCTCACTACCAAACAAAATGAAAAATGGATTGTTCTCTCTCTCTCTCTCTCACACACACACTTGGTTTTGTTTAATATTATTATAAATCATTTTTATACGTCTTAAAAAATTCAAACACCCACATGAAGCTTTTGCAAATAATTAGCAGCAGTATCCTCTTAGAATCATTTGCTTTTGAAAAAATTCACAAACACGCAAAACCGTAAAGTCGTACAAAATTTGATAATAAACCAATAAGTTTTACTTTTCACAGATAATTCTAACTGAATACAATTCACTAGAATTCCTATTTTACATGTAGAGAAGAAATTAGATTGTTAAGTCTAACCATATCATAAAGGGCAATGCTACATGAACATAATTTAGAGATCTTATTAATAACCTAATTTAGATCTCCAAATTAAAATAGGAAGCTCCTCACGTATCAATGCATAATAACGGTCTAGATTTTATGTATATTCAACGATTTATATTTTAACCATAATAAATTTGTCTATTTATATTTAGCATTTTAATCATGGTAAACATTCTAACTAGGGTAAATATTTTAACCATACTTATTGATGAGACATTTTCGAAATACTCCNCTTTTAATCATAGTAAACATTCTAACTAGGGTAAATATTTTAACCATACTTATTGATGGGACATTTTCGAAATATTCCAAGATGAAGACACGTGTTCTCAGTGTCACTAATCCTTGTTATTAAGATCACGTACCCATCGGTTCACAAGTCCCTCTCCCCCGAGGTATTTGTCATAGGGATCAAGTGACATCCAGTATGTTTACGTACCGACACGTATCCCTCGGTCTGATATGGGTACATCGGTCGCTATATGTACCAATCCCCCCTCGGTACCGATATGTACCAATGTCCAGGATGACATTCTCTTCTCCTGCAGAGCTACTGATGTATAGGTCATTGGCCTAGGTTAGGCTAGATTAGCTATCATGACCTCGTCTTACACAATTGGTGTCAGAAGGCACAGGAAGGCAGGGCCACAGCCAATGGGGAATGGACGCGTGGCATATTGTGTCACATCAGAGACCGCATGCCCTTGCTGACACACGACTTGGGAAAGCAAGCTTTTAATTATACCATTCCCTTGATGAGACTGCATTCAATGCGGTAAGGCTCGGAAGTGAAAGGCAATAAATGTCTCTAAGGCTGGACATTTATTGCATCCTCCCCGAGAGGAGCTCATTGAACAGTCGGCATGCCGATGACACGGCCTTGATTGCTTGGGATCCCGAGCAGTTAAAAGAGAAGACATTCCTCGTAGGAATCAGTGCGCACGTTGCCTGTATCTAATGATCACCTACTGACCACACTGACAGCAATCATGAATATTTGAGGTATAAATACTCCTCGCAAAAGGTGAGGTAAGGGAGAATAAAAAACCTTGGCTACAAATTATACTCAGTGTTTTCTTCTTCCTCTTTCTCAAAATTGACTTGATCGTCGGAGGGGATACGTCGAAAAACACTCCGGCGCCCTTCTAACTTGTCTTTCTTTGTTCCAGGCACCTTCCTCAGCTTTACAGGATCGTTCCATTGACCCACGAGGGTCTCTTGTTACCATTCCAGGTTACCACCGGACCTCACAGGCTGTCCTAGACAGTAGGGTTGACCATTCGACTGACTCACTCGAGTTCACCAAGGGAGAGATCTGTTCTCGTGTTTATATTGTGCAAGATCCAGCACGCACAATCTGACGCCGTCTGTGGGAAACGACTAGTTTTTTTCTAGTTTCTTCTCTATAAAAAACAGTGACCATGGTGAATACTCGACAAAAAGGGAAAGGTCCCCAACAAAGAAGTCTCGAATTACAAGCTCCATGTCACCATGGAGGGAGGGATTACACTGATGGGAATAGAAATGTCTCTATTCAGTCAAGAGGGCCTACTCCTCAGACCAGTATGGGCATCAGGTCAGGAGGAACCGCCCCCTTGGCTTGCCAACTAGCGGAGGTGATCGAAGAAAAGTTTGGAGATCGATTACGACAGTTGGAAAAGGACAATGTGAACGTCCTAAGCTGGCTCAACGAATTCGCCGCCTCCGATGAAGGGTCGAGGGACTCATTCCTTTCTCGTGGGCTCCCCGCCCAGGAGGCGAAAATGAAGGATCTAAGGAATCATTTAAACAACAAGACAGAAAGCTCCAAGGTCCCAAAGCGACCAAGAGCCAACAAGCGCCCTCTTAACGACCATTCCAAGAAGGCAAGACCTTTAGCCCTGGACGACCTCCGACGAGGACTGTCAAGATGGAGGAAGAGAGATGGGTCTGAGGAGGATTCAACCTTATCCACGCGACGCCCAGGAAATGGGGGACCCATGGACGAACTCGGAGACTTCAAAAGACACCCCGTTAGGGAGAAAATTGATCTCAAGGCTCGGTTGGAATCCAGGAGAAATGACAAGACTGTCTAGGATGATGCCGAAGACGAGGTCATGCAATCACTCTTTACCAGGGGTATCACAGAGATGGATGTTCTGAAAAAATTCGTTGTGCCGAGGTTCAAAATTTATAACGGACGGTCCGATCCCGAAACCCACTTCAGGCAGTACAGGCAAATGATGTCCCTATATCATTCAGACCAACGGTTCCTCTGCTGAGTGTTTCCCATGAGCTTGGGGGACTCCACGATGAAGTGGTTCGAGGCTCTTCCCCCGAACAACATTGAATCATGGAAGGAGCTTACGAGACAGTTCCTAGCCCGATTCATTATGGGGAGTAAGT